AAAAAAAAAAAAAGATATCGAGAGACGATCTTCTTTATATTTGACTTTAAAATTCAGGGGAAACGCAATCCACCTACCTCTATTTCTACCATCTTCGTGCTACGATCTCCGGATTTTTAAACCTCGTGAAATGGCAACCTAGTGTTGACGTTGGGAAATCGAGTATAGAGTAGCTTCTATATCTCCTGTATACTACGTGGTCACTGAACCGTAGTGGAGAATTTTTAAAGTAGAAGAAACCTTACAAGCGTGCACACTAGTACTAGCGTAACATTGTTGTGACAAAATATAATTTGTGCGCATTATACGTCTCGTATAATGTATTCTAAGATCGCGTATCTGTATAATGTTTAGTATAGAACATATAAATATATTGACAAAGCTAATTAGTAACAGATTTTAATGAATAACTTGTCGTTAAAAAAATGATTAAATCATCAATTGAAAAATAAGTTGAAAAAGATTTCTCTAGCATATAAAAATTAAAATTAATAACAATTGGTTTGAAAGATTAATCGATGTTTTTGTGTTTCCAATGCACGATTCGACTCGGCTTCTTTTGTCGCCCGTCAACTGTAATCAGCAAAGCCATATATATGCTGATCGGCATTTTGTGCCGACTGGCATAGATCGATTGATACGTATTCAGTAACGGGTATTGTCCAATGAGCTTGTTGATCGGCAAAGCCGATTATAGTACATGTAGAAAGCGTCACAAGACAGAAACAATCGCACAAATTATGCGCAAACAGATTTAGGAGACTAATACATGCGTGATGGAATTTGACAATAAAAGATTAGATTAGTATATAGTATAACCTGTTAATATTTTTTGCGATTAAATTAAATATGCATTATCTTTGATTTTCTTGATAAAATTATGAAAATTAAAGCCATTTATGAAAAATGGATTTAGGAATGCATTTAATATTTTCAGTTTTCATTTTTCTTATTTATTCTGTGTTACAGCAGAGTAGTGCTAATGCAGCTTCTCCGAAAGACTTATATTAATTGTTAGTAATTATATATTTTACAAACTAACAGATATTTTTTTCGCGCAGACGGATGTGTTATGCCAATGTTTGGCAATTCGGGAAGTGGTAATACAATTTGGGAATGACTTTAGTCGTAGAGGGAATTACACGAAAATCCCATTTATTCTACATGTCGATAAGCCTTTGAGAAATCGATCGCACCGCAGCAGGCAGGTTGTTTATGCAAGTGTTACGTTACTACGCCGATAGCCTCGTTTGGCAAGTGTCTCGCGTCGCCATGCTTTACCGCGAAATAACCCAATAGCTCTGACACGTATCTCTGTAACGCCCAAACTTCGAAAATTTTGGACACGTGGCCGACAATGATTTCGCATCTATGAACGTGGTTTTCATATTTTTGCTTTGCTGTTTAAAACCGATACAAACAAAAATTTGAAATAAAATATATCAATCCATCGTTAAACGCGTGTATTTAAAAGTTATAAAGTAAATAAAAAAAGTTTATTTCCATAAAGCTTTTGAACGTTTTCCAGCCTTTGACAATTTTACAGTTTGATTTTCTCGCATATGTTATGAAAAAAAAAAAAGTTTTACGAATATAACAAAAAAAGACGATGACCTGACGAGTTAAGCGGTTTTCTCATTCGCATAAGTAGTAAGTGTCCGGAGTATGGTCAGACTCACGCTCTTGACAAATATCCCGGGTGACGCTTGGCGAACGAAGAAAATCCGATTGTGTCAGTCGCCTATGTACCCACGGGGAATTTGAAAAATCGATGGTAACTTCTGACTCTCGTGGCCCGCAAGAGAGCCACGGTCCCTTCCGCCCCTTCCGGCCGCCCGTTTTGGCACCCGCTCTTCACCACCTCCGAGTACTCTGTCTACGCAACTATCGACTTTTTCGGGGACGCGAGAGTGGGAAGGTGGAAGAAGAGAAGAAAGTGGGGAGTTTTGGGGTGGCGGGCGGGATATGGCGGCCGACAAGCAGCTTCTGAAAAATGCCTCTGGAGCGTGACTACCCTCTGCCTTTTTTTTCTTCTTCTTCGTCCGGCACCCCCTTCGCGAAACCCACACCGGATGGCGGCGAGAGGATTCGGAACGAATGGGCCACACGTGTGCCCCGCGCGCATTCTCTTTTTTTTTTTTTTGTCCTTCCTTCTTTTCTTCCTTCCTTCCTTCCTTCCTTCCTCTCCTCCCTACCTCGTTTCATCCCATACGGCATCGTTGCCCCGCATCGTCGATTTCGCAGCTTGCTACTGGCGAGCGAGGTAAGTCGAACTCTCGCGCGCGGTTCTACCCGTGATTTACACTTGTCACGGCGTCCCTCTGCACCACGTGTCGTAGACGCTTTACTTCCCTTATCGCCGACCGGGAATTTGAGAATTGCGTGTCGCTATACAGGGTTGTATTAATAAATATGAGCTTAATCGGCTGTCAATGAAAATAAAACGACAAGGTCGTGTAATTAACGTTAAGAGTTATACTCGTATTTTTCCTTTTTTCATCTCTACGTATAAATACAATCAATTATTTAGAAGCAGGCAAGAATGGACTAACCCGGGATTAACGCTTTAATTCAGATTGCGGCCACAATTCAGCTCTAGAAGCTTAATGCATTTAGAATTTATTATCTCACCAAATGCTACCCATTTTGTGCCCAGTCTTTAATTAATAAACGTGTAATGTATACTATTAGTCTGCACTATTGTAATTTTATGAGGCAGGATGGAATAGGATACCTCCGGCTTTAATTATGTTTTACGTTTCGTTGTTATCGTTATCCACTATATAAGCTGTTTCTACGATATAACAGTAACATGTCCTTATTATTTTCTTTTACATATAATGGATATTTTTGATACATGTTGATATATATATATATATATATACGTATGAAAGCTCATATTTTTGGATTTTTCCTTTCATTATTATCAAATTGCAAAAGGAACTCTTTTGATTTAAAAATCCAAAGTAATGAAGCGTAAAAGTTTATCGTAAGCCAAAAAGTCATAAATATTCTTCAGAATATCTTTTTAAACCGCACTTTAATTTCTTTCAAGCAAAACCGAAGCGTCTATAATCGAGATAAAACTTTAATTATTAATTAGCTTTTATAATAAAATTCTTATTACTATTATTATTATTTTAGTATT